TTCAGAACACATGTCATTAAATACAGTCACCCTCCTGGGCTACGGGCTGTCTGTCCTCACACTTTGACAAAAGGCCATGGGGTGAGGGGCAGGTCAGCACAGTGGACCACTCACCCGGAGTCACATTGCTGCTCCGTGGAACCATCACCAGAGTCTCTCCCTGCAGGACCCACACCTGCTGATCCCGATCAGACACCTCCCAAGTCTGAGGCCTAAGTGCTGCCGTTGGGAAGGGGGAAAATCAATGAAGGAACGTGAAAACGAAGGCTGCTTTCTTGACTCTAAAAGAAAGACCACCCAGTCCGGGCTTCTGTAAGGAGGACCAGGGGTGACACCCCAAAACAGGTCACACTCACGTGACTCACCTCCCAGCCTTGCCAGCAGAGCTGTGGGCTCTGGTGAGGAGAGCAGCCCCAGTACCTGGTGTCAAGACCTGGTCACTCTTGGTGGCTGTTGCTTGGTTGGCTGAGGCCAACCCAGCACTGATGAGCAGTGGTCCCCTGCCTCCAGAATCCCCTGGCCCCAGTGGCAGGAAGGGCCATGTGGTAAGGGCCACACGCAGGGAGGGACAGAAATGTTGGGGTGTCTGGAGGATACAGAGGTGATTGCTGGTGGTCTGGGCCTCGAGCACCCCATCCCAACTCACCTGTCCCATAAACTTGTCTCTCGGGGTCCATCATGGTGGTGTTGTGTCAGCCAGGCCCTGCRGGGACAGTGACAGTGACCTCAGGAGACAACCACAGGACCTCCCCAGGACACTGGTACCTCAGACGCTCGTTCTCCACTGGGAGCCGGCTGCCTGACCTGAGATGGCGCTCTGGTCAGATGGGCCACCTTCCGGGACCAGAGTTCACAGCCGCCTCAGGGAGGGGAGCTGGCCGCATCTCCCTCCACCCATCGACCCGGCCAACAACCTTCCCTCCCTCCAGACATGACTCTTGACCTTGAGCTCCCACAGGCCCTGATGCTGGTGTCTCCTCCTGGAGATCCTTCCCGCTCACTGGCTTCCATTTCTAGGGACMAGGGGAGCCCCATGCCAGGGCAATTCTGCTCACAAACTCCCCAAGGACAGGCAGTGAGCCCTGCCCAGGACAAGGCCCAGAGCCACCCTGGCACAYCCCATCCCTTCACTAACCCCCAACACAGAGGCTCTGGAGTTAGAGACCTTCCAGCTGTGGGTGGCACCTGCGTGGAAGAGCCCTTACCAAAAGTCCAGGGCACCGGGTCATGGCTCGAGGAGCTTCCCAGAGCAGTGACAGCCTCCTGCCAAGC